AAAGCTCTAAGAAAGGCAGCAAAGATGCGCAATAAGGCAGATCCATATGACACAGTCCATATAACACGCTCTACTCTGGCACATTTACACTAACAGATGAGATGGATCTTTTAAAGGGCTTCGGTTGCTCTCTGTCTAATGTAGTTTATGATGAGATCAGTACACTAAAAAGTAAAGGGAGGTGAGAAAGGTGCAAGGGAATGGGAAGGTTGGCTGAGAAAAATAAAGCAAGGGTGTGTTTTAGGTCATGATTGGCTTTTGTTTGAGCTGTAGATGCAGGCTTGATGCAGTGACATGCAGTTAAAATGCACAGGGTGTGTGTTTTCAATGTTTTATGCATGGGATGTTGTGGCCTGGGATCTGTGACTCTGTCATTGATTGTCAAACTGTCCCTTAAGCCTCCCAAAAATGAGGCAAAGTGAGTCAATGCACATGAGGCCTATAATGCTGTGTAAGTAAACAAACCTCCACAATACAACTTCATGGCAATGAATTAATTAAATATACTTTGAAGAGCAGAATACAAAAATCTGTTCTGGTGGTATAAAAATGGACTGCATTCATTTCTTAGCCATGGAGAAAAAAACTGACAAAGATAAAAAGGAATAATACATGAGGTGTCCATACAGCATGCATTCATAAGCATCAGGTGAAGGATTGGCAGCTGCTTGTGTGAAAACAAAGCTGAGCCACTGAAATCAATACAAGCTATTATGGAACATTTTACAGAAAGTTTAGCACTTTATTTCACTGTTACATGTTGAAGTAGTCTTTTTCCATAAGAATGATTTTTTTTCTCTGTTGCGTGTATAAACAGTATGTGCATGTACATAAGTGTGTCATTGTGTATGTGTGTGTGTTTTTACAATCGTAATCAGGATCAGTACTCTTTGAATGAACTTGTGACTTGTGGTCAAGACTTATTTTTCCAGTATAGCTGCTGAAAAAGATAAAGTCACCACCTTCTGCTTTCCTGAACTGGAGACACAAGCCACATGTAGCATCTCATCACTGAACCGGCTCAGATGGATCCACTCATTTCAAATCACTTATCCTGTCCATTCAGCATGGCTTACTAAGCATCTAAGTGATTGACAGCAGAGGGATCCCTCCCTCTTAGGTCGCGAAAAAGGTATCCTCAGCCTCTTATTGGACCACAGAAAACTTCATGAAACCGTCAGCCAACCCCGCTGTTGTCACTGACCCCTCCCTCCTTCTGCATCATCAAGGCAACCATTGAGGCAGTGGTCGTCGCTCCCAAAAGCACCCTGGGACTGCAGCAGCTCATATTCCTGGTCCAGGAAGTCTAGGCTGTTGTTGCTAGGCAACCCACGGATGGTGAACTTGTGGGACACTTTGGTCCACTGCTCCCGATTTGCTGCCACTCTCTCGTACAGCTCAGTGGCCCCAGGAAAGAGTTCAGATAGTAGCCTAAAAGGACAGAGGACAGTGGTTGCACGTGAGCTAAGATATATTTGTTGGTTACGGTTGTAATTTATGAACTGAGGCGTCACGTAATTATGTCACATTACAAAATCTTCATTGTGCCAACATGATAATTTGTCCACATTTTTTACAGTCCCATTTAATCATATGTTCTTTTGACTTCAATTATTTTACTCTAATGTCTTGCGTACCTTTTAGTTAAATTTATAAATTAATTTAGCTAAACCTGCAATAACTGATTTTTTGTACACTTGGGTGTAGTGAAATAAGCTGCCAACACAACATTTGGATGTTACCTTATAAAGTTTATATGGTAAACATCCAGCAGACACTGAGCAACATTATCATTCATGGACTGCAGTTGTGTTTCTATCCAATATTCACTCTCTTTTAGTTCCCTTTTCTCTCTCTACCAATTCCTGAGGAAAATAATGGGCTGCTAAATCCTCAGCTACGTTAACCAACTAGTCGCTGACTGTGTCTGTCTGTTGTTTGATGCTTCTCAAGTAGCATCCAGTGAGCTTTTTTTCAGCTGAAAAAAGCAGCCTGTTGACATCACTGAGCATTAATAATCAAAACAGTGAAGTTGTGAGGCCATAAAACCAAAACAATGAGCTGACAGATGCTAAAGTGCTCTGTAAAGCTGATATTATCTGTGGTTCTGTCACTACAAACCAATGTAAATCATTATTACATAAATAATTATATTATAAATATAAAATTGAATATAATCCAAATGCAGTTTAAAGTTCTATAAGAGCATGTGATGTATAAGCTTTTTGTACGCACTTGTAAATGGGCATGGCGATATGTTCCATGAAGCTTATCTGTAGTTCTGGGATGTACGCTTTCTCTCTGTCCATCATCTCACTGGGCCTGTTCCCCATGGCTTTTTCCTGCACACACACGATGCAGACAGACACGAACAATGAGAACACTATTGTGTAAAAAGACACACACGTCAGACACTTAGCGTCAGACACGCTAAATAATTTCACATGCCATTTAATGGTCAGCGTACACTGACACATACCAGATCTCCTTGAGAGAAGAACTCTTTATAAATCAGCTCCTGTGGACACATAGAGTCAGACATCTGTTATTGTTCATACGGTTTCATAGTGGCATTGATTAAGTTCCACCTAAAATACACACAATATAGCAGCCAATATAATCTGGAATACTCCTTAATGAAAATATAGACATTCAGATTTAGTTTTCAACCTTAAAATGAGGTAATTTTAATGACTCACAACAACAAGGTAAGATGCCATTATATTATATAATATTTGGTGTGATTTCTTTTTGTTATATTAATCCCCATGCATTTTCTGGTCAGCAAGAAAAATCATGTACCAACAGAGACCAACAGTGACAGATCCAAAATTAAACAGAAATGTGTTTTCAGTTTTGAGAGTAAGGATTACAGCGCTTTTGCTGTAGGTGTTAGGTGTTTGGAGACTTAGGGTGTAGGATTTAGGACAAGGGTCAGTGGTTTGGTGCTGAAAAGGGAGCAGACCAAGATTAAACATAATCCTAAAACAGAGTGCAGCTTCACAGAATATAATGTAATGGAATATAGACTAGGTTATTTCCAACTGTACAGGTCATCATCTCATAATCCCTATAGTCACAGAAATGGGTCAGTTTTACTGTAAAGTCATTGGGAACTGGAAATCTTTATGAATGCTGAATCTGCTGAGCTGCTGGAGCTCTATTGAGAAACTTCTTGCTATTGCATGTCAACTAACAGAGACCAAATATAAAGTGTCTGAAACTACAGTCCTTTAAGTAATCATATCAATCCTTTTCTTGTTTGGACTTACAATAAGCTGTTTTTAATGACAGAGCAGTGTGTTGGACAACTACAATTACCGCCACTAAGACACATCTGCACATTTGTGCTGCACCCGTTCTAATTATTAATAGCAATAATTGTTCACATTACAAGGGCAATTGGAGTAACACTGAGGCACGTTTACATTAATGAATATACTACAGTTGATTTGCCAAAAGGTGCAGCGCAAACCCATACGAGGCTGTTCACAGGAATATGACTATCTGTGTGTTGATTACTTAAACCTGATCTTCCATAATGTGGTGGCAAATGAATGTATGTTTTTGTGTAACAGTTCATCATATATTAAAAAACTAAACCTATTCATATCGTGTTAAGTATAGACAGCGGTTTAGATTATGAACTGACAGCAATCTTGCGTGTGGTTTTCCAGCCCTTGGTTTGATCTGACAGGTCACACGATGTCATCAACAGGCACAGCAGCATGGAGCGGTGGGTACGGCTTTTTGGGTTGTATCCGTCTGGAAAACATGAATGCAAAAAATGACTCTAAGTTGCATTTACACACTTGTGTGGGCAGTAAGTAAGAAACCACTGGTGAAATCACTACAACACACGTGTATTCAAAAAACAAATTATGTTTCAGTGGCACCTTAACATTGTTGATTTCCATTCTGTGTTTGGCCAAACTATTTTTGTCCATAATTGACAAGACACACACTTTGACAAGATAACTGACAAGATACACACACTGTGTTGCGAAGCAGTTGCTAACTCATTTAGAAGCTTTTAGGGTCCTCGAATTGCTTTAACAGCACACAATTAATTCCACTGGGGAGACATCAACTCAGGATTACTTATAATTGGTGGCATTCAGGCGTATGGCCAGGAGGTTACAGCCAATTATATTACATAAAAGTGCACTAAGCAACTGACGCCTCAAAAGGGTAGAAAGTCCTATGAAAGTAGAGGATTACTAAGAATGTCAGTGATGAAAACTGCAAGTTTGACGTCATATCGCTGCAAATAGTCACAAAAAATCTGGTGGTAAAGTGGTGGCAAGAAAGACACCATACTGCAGAGGAAATGGGTTCATAATTTCACAGTCCCTATAGTTTCTAGTGATTTTTTTCTCTTGTGAAATCAGACAGGTGTCATTGCATCTGGACCAAGCCTCTCTTTGCTATTCAGGGTTGTGAGTATGAAGCAAAAGTAGAGACGTGGTTGTGCATACTGAACTAATGGGAACGTACCATCAGCCATTTTCTGCAAGTCCTTGAAAATGCGAAGGTGGTGAGCCAGGTCTGTAGCCAGAATGATGTCTCTAATCAAATCCAGAACACGCTGGTAGTCCTACAAAAACATCAATAATAACTTTAGCTTGCATGTACAATGATAGCAGAATTTAGTAAAAGATAATTTAAAGTGGGAGAGAGAAAAACCAAGAGAGTCATTTGTAATGTGTGATTTGAGTCAGATTTTACATCTTACCTTCCTGGAGAACTTCTCAAAGATGTTGCAGCCAAAAGTGTTCAGAATGGCGATGGCCTGGGCGAAGTGATGTCTCTGTAGTGGCAAACAGAGTACATTTGCAAACGATGCTTCTACAGGAATGTTGAGTCATGTTGCAATGCAACAAGCCAATTTACATGCCACCCATTGCCTCATGACTGAAACAAATTAATGTACAATTTTGGCCACTAGGTGTCGGACAAACACAAAACAATATTAGCAGCTCACACATGCTGTTACACATATGTTTATCAACTACTGTAGAAAGGAACAGACCAATATAAAAAACATGTATTTTTCTAGTAGTGATGTGGACTAAATTATATTCAGGGGTGTTTCTAATATTCTTCCACCCTCGTGTATGTAAACGGAAAGGACAAAACATTTGAAAAACATCTCGACATAATATAGTCCAGTACAACACCACCTTTAACTATGACCTCAGCAATAACCACATCATTCAGTTCAACTGATTGTGAGTTTACCTCCATCACAGATCCCTCTGAGCTGTAGAGAGCAGCCAGCACAGATTGCTGAAAACAGAAACGGAAAAATCAAACATAATCATTTTAGGGGACACATTGTAACATCCTTCTATGAAATGCACTGTCTTCTCTTTAACTGTACTTGTCAGCGTGAATGTGAATCTTCCCGTAGATGCATAATGACAGTTGCTCTGTTTGTGTCATTTGGTGCTGGAGGGTTGTGCATGATTAGAGTGGAGCAGAGCATTTTGCTTCTCATCACAATCACATCTGTTGCTTCACCGTGGCGATTTCACAGATGAAGAGATACAACCGTAAACTGTGATATCACTATGAGACACCCAGAGCCTGGCTCTGTGGTGCTCTATCCTCCATCTAAACATCCATTTTTAGTCTGCATTTTTTAAACTGCAGGTGCAGTGCTGCTCTATCACTCTCCACGTGTTTGGGAGGTTTAATGTTTTTATTCTTGTGTATAATTTTTGGTGCTTCATTGTAAGCCCTCTAATAAAGTAGAAACATAATTTGTGCTCTCACTGAGGCGACTTGGAAAGAATTGTTGGTGCCACGGTGGTCCAGGTCATGGCACATACAGGAGACGAAGAGAGCTAGAATCTCTATATCCCTACAAAGAGAAGGATCAAAACAACAATTACAATTTCAAAATTCAGTTTGTTACATGTTTAAGATTTAAATCATCAAAGAGAGAGGGCAGAGTGTTTTACACTTACTCGAGGTAGTTGGACAGCCCTAGGTTTTTGTAGAGCAAGTAGCAGAAGTGTGAGACCGAGAAGGCGTGCATCCAGTTGTGGTAGGGAGGGTCCCTGTAGCCTTTCTTCACCATCAGACAGAACCTGCCACCAAAGCAGCAGTTTAATTATCATCTACAAAATGCGCATACGGCACATGTAATTAGTGATTTCATTTTGACCTATGCACCAATTTATGTTATTAAAAAAGCATCCATAACGTTTCTACAATGCTGGGGTTGTAGCACCATAAATTGTCCAATTCTCCACCCCACCCCAAGTTTAAAGAATAATTTTGATGTGAAACATATAATACTATTCTGCTCTACTGATCAGTTCTGACCAAAAATACTGTCAGTGCTGTTTATAGAGAGCTGTTCATATCTCTCTTTCCAAGGTGTTGGGGTTCAGGTCTTATAGTTGATGGATAGCGCCAATGAAAATTTGAATAATTCAACTCTAAAAGCACTCAAAGCCTCTTTACTCCAGCAGACTATAAAGCAGTTGAAATAATCTGATCAGATGATAGAAAAGGATTTTAAAAATCCCCCAGAGGTATTCTTAAATCATAGGCTACAATTTTTTAAAATCAAATACACACAGGCTCTTATATAAAATGTATGAATTGATGGAGTTGTCAGACCTGGCGAGAGTGTGCAGGTCAATCTTGTATGTGTTGATGAAACCCATGTCTTCAAACATGCTGAGGATGCACTGCAGACACACACAACGGGATCAGTTACATCAGTTTCCACGCCGTGTCTCTAATCTCTCTCTCTGCTGTCCCTCTTCCTCGCTTTTTCTCTTAACCTCTGGTCCTTACCATGGGTGTGGCGTCATCAGACAGGGAACGGGGCGTGTACGTGAACTCAGCGTAGCAGGGGTCGATCTCCGTCACTGGTTCGATCCCTGTCACCAGCAGCTTAGACACCTCTTCCTCTGAAACCTGCAACATACACATACTGAATCATATGGAGTAAATAATATGGACAGTGTCAGTAAATGCGACGTGTGCGAGAGTGAGTGAGATGTACAAATATGATTTTTACCTTCATATGGTACATCATCATTTCATTGGCCAGGTGGGACCTGAACTGAGCTTCATGGACTTTCTTGTAGAGCAGAGACTAGAGAAACAAACACCGTATTACAGTAACACTAAAGCAAATCAACAGTAAATAGAATATTGTCACAAATAGCTGGCTACTTTTTAATGTACAGTTCAGTCACAGCAACAGCACACCCAATAACCTTTTATTTATTTTGACACTTGCAAAGACAATTGGGTTGACTGAAATTGCGTTCTATCTTTGGCATCCAGAAGAGCCTGATTTTAGGGAAATTTTGTGACAGTATTTTCAGAAATATGGAAAGAGCGGCAACACCAGTCACAAACTTCGTCTCCTGCTTATTATAGATCATCCAGCTGAACCCCTTTTTGCCCTTCAAGACAATCTGCTTGGGTACACTCGACACAGCTTTGTGTCTAGTGTCCAAAACAATTTAAGTCAACCTGAATGCTGCTTACATTTCAGTACACAAGAGAAATGCTTTTTACAACCCACAGCATACAGTACACCACGAGTGAGCACTGATAAATAATGCATTTGGTGATGTCCAAACGATTAATGAGCTACATAGAAGGCAATTATTTTCCCAATCAAATATCTTTATTGTTTGTCGATAAACTATCGAGTACCTGCAGTCATTCAAAGGTCAGACGCTACCAGACCTACTCAATATGAAGGTGAATCGGAAAAGCTGAATAATGTATCACCGCTGCTGTACTTTGTGACTTTTTGTTATCAGCTGTCTGATTCTTTCTTTCTTTCTTTCTTCCATCTTCATTACAGTCCCTCTCTTACAGCACATTATTTAAAATCAGTTACAAACATGTATTATCATTAAAAACCTCAATCCATTTTTAAATCCTTTAACTCAAATCAATTGTGTGACTGTTTGAGGTCCTTTTTTCTATTCATCATTATTGTCACAAACATCTTCATCATTGTCCATGCTCCATACGCTAGCTCAGCTGAATGTGTGTTTATGGGTTTGCAGCAGCCATGCAATGCCTATGAACCATACCATGAAAGCCAGCTCCATCACAGATAGAATCTCTTTAAATTTCCCTTGAGACTTTGCTCGACTCTGCCTTGACTGAGCATTTTGCTTCCACTGAACTGATCCCATATAGCCAGCTAGGATCGATCTCTCTAACAACACTAACAACAGCTTTACCACGCTGTTTTAAGAAGTAAGATACTCCTGATGAAGGGCATACTGTAAATGCTTATTTTTTGAACATTCTTTTATTCCTCTCCATGCAGTCACATTTAGTTAATGATCATAAGGGTGCATGGGACTTGCAGAGAGATGACATTATTATTATTATATATACACATTTGAGCTATGTTTAAAATCAAGCTGAGTTAATGAGCCAGTGTCTATGAAGATAAAAATGTAGCTTAAGAAAAGCTGCATTTATTCCCTTTTAATGTTTCATTGCTGCTGACAGAGATAATAAGAGAAAGTGATAGAAGCTGTCTTCTTTTGCAATGTTAGAAGTTTACGTTGCTAATTAATTTGAAACTGATAATGTATCTCCAGCAACTGTGCAGTTGTGCAATTTTGATTGCTTTTAGAGTTATTTTATGCTTAATGTGCTATATTGACTTGGGTGGTGAGTCCCTGAACAGACATCTGTGGCTATTCAACATACAGAACCAGAAAGTGTAAAGTTTACAGAGAGTCACCTCTTTCAGTGGGAGAAGAGACTTACATGGGCGATGCTGATACCACAGTAGATGGAGAAAGCTGTGGCTAGGTCCTCGTCAAAGCGGTTGAACCACGGCCCATTCATTTTATTCACCAACTCAGCCACCCCGATCACCTCTAGAAGAAGCGGGATTTAAAGAAAGGGTGAAGAGGACAGAAGTAAAGATGGAGAGAGTAAAAGGAAGGTGAGACATTGAGGGAGGCAATGGGTTGAGGATGGAAAGGAGTGAATGGAGGGACAGGAAGTGGATGAAGAAAAATGGAAGGGGGAAGATATGAGTCAAGGACGAGAAAATGAGGCACAGAATGTCAGAGGTGCAGAGCAATCAAATAGGTCTGCTGACGTCAATTAATTTCACACTGGAGCTGAACCTAATTGCACATAAAAAGTTCTTAATTGAAACTTTTTATTTGAGTTTTCTATACAGAGACATATCTCACAGAATCTAAAGTTTCTCTGCTTGGCTACAGGGAGAAGTAGGGGAGCACCATCAAAGTTTTCTGTCATTTCTAAGTATGGAACACACTCAAGATGGCTGCCACATCCAAAAGTGCACTTAATGCACTTTAACATTTAGGAGCAAAGAATGTGATGTAACAACTCTTTGTGCTATTCTAAGAGAGCACATGTGTGGAGATGTAGCTTCATTTTTAAAAGGAAAAAGGTGGAGTTGGTATGTACTGTAGAGGACAATAGAGGAGCAATTACCCACAATCTAAAAGAGTAGGCCCTACATCTGAAAGTGTAAGAAAAAGAAAATGTGGCCATTACTATATTATCAGTAGCCTCATTATTGCATTAGTAGTGCATTAGTGGACTCTGGGTCCACTGTCCCTTTACAGATAACATATGTTGCCACATTGAGTTAAAGTAACTTAGAAAAAACATTTGGAATGATTTTAGTTTTTATGCTCTGCTGATGAGACAACCTGCTCAAGATGTGCTGAATGTGTAATATCTTTCTAATTCCAAAATCATTCTCTTGTTTCCAATGACCTATTTCTTTAGGTCTTTTTTCCATTACATTGTTTGTATTTTTAATTTCACTTGTACTGTTTCTTTTTTGTGCTTTAGTCTCCAATTTGTGTTATTGCTTGTATTTGCTTTGTCTTGCTTTTCAGTCCTTTGTCAGAATTGCTTACTAAACTGTATGAAACGTGCTTTACAAATTAAGCTTTGAACGTTTTAAGACAGCCTGGTATGGAGCTGATTACTTTTTGAGTGTGTTGAGTGATATTCTTTTGTGTGTACAGCAGTCATTGTTGCTACCATTGTTCTCATCTTTGATGGGGAAGCAGAGGATGTTGCGAGTCCTGAAGCCGGTGCTGTCGTCCACGCCCCGGTAGAAGAGAGGATGGGAGTAGGCGTCCTTAATGTTCAAGATCTGGCCAGTGGTCGCCACGTGACCTGCAATACCCTGATCTGCTGGAATACGGAACTCCTTCTGCACTCGCACACACACAGACACACACACATCTCTTACATCATCAAACCACTTTTTACACTTTTGTTTTAAATTCATTTTTGACAGTAGAGCTAACATATCTAGAGCATAACCAATGACAAAAACCTACGGGTTGTTATTGCAATGTCCTATGACCTAATCTGGATGGGGACCTCTGCTGCATGTCATTTACTTTTTCTCTCTCCCTTCATTTCCTGTCCGTCTCTAATGTCAACTCTCTAATATACACATGACCCACCCTCTTTAGACAAGGTCACAGGAAAGACTACCTTATTTTTTGTGCATTCAGATTAAATGTGTTCGCCTGTCTGCGTTTGTCAGTGTGGGCGACTGTGTGTCGTACCTCCTCGTCACTAACCACGCCCCCGTCAAACACCTTTGCCACCAACTCATGACTGACACGATCCAGCAGAAACACGGAACAGCTGGCGAAAAAGAGAGAGAGACAGAGTTAGAGAGAACTGAGCAAAGCAGAGAAAATGAGTGTTTTATCTCATTTCATCTCAGGTCATTTGGTAACTTTAATTAAATGCAAGTTGGTTAAGAGCAAATTGCCAAGATAGCCTTTTCAAATGGAGATAAAGACATCCGCACTATACACACACACACACACACACACACATGCATTGAAACATCCCTTTGAAGATGAATCCGCTTACATCTCTGCATCACTGAGGTTCCTGGCCTCCACTATAATTTCCTGTAACAGCACTGACACGTCATCTGAAAGAGAGAGAGAGAGAGATGGTGAGAGAGGAAATTAAAGGAATACAGCAAAGCCCAGATATCCAGAAACACAGATTACAAAGTGAGTACTGGTGGTTCAGCTGTACGAGCTGATAAGAGCTTTTGTAATCAACGGCTCGGTACAGTGAGAGGCAATTTGCGTTACCAGTGGATCCGTTTATTGTACTGGTAATAGTGATGAATCATCAATGACTTATTCCACTGTTGGTGCTCGCTGTTAGATAAGAATCTAAATGCCCCAGTGCAATTACAGGATAGCGAGTTGGAGCCATCATTTTTAATGCCCTTTTGATTTAATGGTTATGATCCTGGGTGTAATCACCTTTAGGGTCAGTAATATCTCATTCAATTATGTGCCATTCGTTTCACTTGGTGATCACTTAAATATCGGCCATTAACGCAAATTGTCCTACAACATTCTTTCTTCACAGTGACAGACAAGACGGAGGCAGGAAATACTCACCCAAGTGTGTGAAGAGATTCTTGGCCACTTGCAAGAGCGCCTATGTGGAGAAACATCGGATACAAGACGCTCTTTAAAAAACAGCTTAGTGTATATTTGTACACTCTGTGTGTGTGTGTGTGTGTGTGTGTGTGTGTGTGTGTGGGCATGTGTAGTACTGTACCTGGCACTCCACTTTGAGTTTCTGTTCTTTCTGGAAGGCCAATGTAGAAGTGAGGACCGTTGAAGTGTAGCAGAAACAGTGCTGGATTGCATGCTCATCTGCCTCTGTGTGTCTGCAGTGGGCAAGAGACACAAAGTTGCATGATAAACCTGAATTTAGACAGAGCTAATAGGCTGCCGTGGCACTCTTATTACCAAACATGAAATACTCATATTATACATACAGTATGTTGTGAGATCTTGTGTTGCCATTAATACATACAATGGTACATTAATCGATTAGACAATAATCAGAAAATGAATCTTCTATTTTGATAATGAATTAATAATTTTTCAAGAAAATCATTCTCTTGTTTCCAGCTTCTCAATTATGAGTATTTGCTGCCTTTTCTGATTTATATCACTGAATATCTTTTGGTTTTGGACAATTGGTCAGACAAAAAAAGACATCATGTTGGGCTTTGGGAAATTGTAATTGACATTTTTCACTATTTAAAAAAATTTATAATTAGATCAGTAGTGGAACATAACTAAGTACATTTACTCATGTATTGTACTTAAGTACAATTTTAAGGCATTTGTGCTTAAGTTGCTCCATTTTGTGATCATTTACACTTCAACTCCACTAAATTTCAGAGGAAAATATTGTACTATTATTCTACTATATTCATCTGACAGCTATAGTTATTTTCAGATCAAGATTTTACATGCAAACATATGATCAGTTTACGTATAAAGCAATGAACAACAACAACAGTGTATAAAAGTGTGAAAATTACTCATCAATGAAAAATAATAGTCATGAATACTATTCCAATAATATATGATAAATATTACCCTCCAAATGGATCCATTTTGCATAATGATTACTTTTACTTTAAACTGCAGTGCAAAACTTTTGTCTGACAGTGAGAGTAGTTACATAACATTGTTGACATGTGGTTATGACGTCAAGGCTCTGCCATACAGATTTGCTGCTGTTGCTACCTACAGTTGCTTACCCCTTCAGTTTTGGCAAACCAGCCATTGCTGGTTGCCATAAAAAACATCAGTACCGGTGCGCCAGTACAGGAATGTCACCACAGACACCAGATATACACATTCAGGTATACTGTATTCGCAGTATACCTGAGTGTGTATATCTGGTGTATACACCAGTACAGACAGATTTACCTGACGGTGGTAGGCTTAATAAGCATTGTGTGAACTAGTTTGCTGAGGGCTTGAATGTAACAGATGTTTTAAATGTCAAAGTCCCGCACTCCAGCTTCAAGTAAGTAAAAGATCTCAGTACATCTTCCACCAATGCATTTTAAAGATCAAAGAAATTAATTGATTATTCGGGAAATAATCAGTGGATTAACTTATACAAAAATAACCCTTAGTTGCGGCCCTACATGAAAGGAGAGATGCACAATTATTAACTAAAAACACAGATGAAAAAAAGAATCACATACAACTGTGTGAGAGTGAATTTAGTGGAAGTTACTGTAGTATGTCTAAATATCCTGCAGGTGCTCAGTGTGGCTGTCGCTCTCTTTTAAACTCAAATGACGTGAGAACAGCCCTGAGTAAGCAAATAAACACTGATGAATGAAACGATCTGCAGTGACCACAGTGAGATGCCAGCAATTGCCTGCAGTTACCTCTCTTTGCCTACAGAGGGCATTGGCACATTACTGTGTTGATGTCAGGGGACATGTATAGCTCAGGGGCTTTTTGTAGTCCTGAGCTTAGACTCCCAGGAATCCTAGCAAAAGAGGATTTGTTCTGAGCTTGGAAAAGGCCTGTGAAACTCAGTTTAAGGGCAATTAAGTTCACTCTCCCACACGAGGTACAAATCTTTTATGACTGACAGTGACACTAAGAGTCACATGGAGAAAAAGTCTTCAGTGTTGTAAGTCAAACTGGAGCACAAATACTTTATGTAGAAGGAATGAAGAATGTGTGTCCCCTGTACTACTAAGGTAAAACCAGTACTCACAAATACATCCATGAGCCAACTATAATGGACTTCCAAACATTGCTGCCAACAGAATTTTCAAAGGCAAACCTCCTGTGTTGGCCTTACATAGCCTTGATTATGAGATCATCAGATTTGTGCTGTACACATCATCTTCAGCATGTTTCTGCGTGTATTGTCAACATGCTGCGTAAAACAAGATTAAATTAGGTTTGTGATGGTTTGTGTGCCGTATTCTTATCTGTTCTTACCAACACTAAGTTATGAACCTGCTCCTGGTGTCAAAATATGTTTCCATGCGCCTGTGTCCCAGGGTGAGAGGTTTAATTACACTTTTAAGAGGCCAGGCAGAGAGAGGCTCAAGCAAACTCTGCATGTGAACATGCAATCTATATGATGACTGGATGTATCTTCCGGATATATGTCCATACTAAAATCTGGATGACTGTGCTTGGAGCAAAGGATAGAGTTATCATATTATGCACAGTTTGTGGCCATAATCCTGCTGCTGTTACTATGGTAATGAGATGCCAGCTCTGTCATCAGTGCCACTGGCGGAGGGAGAAATTATAGGACATGATCCCTTCTCATCTCTCTAAGTCTTCAGAGAGAGAGAGAGCAAGCATGTGTGTGTGAAGTGTGATTAAAGTAAGAGATAAAATACACTAATCTACCAGCACTTTAACATAAATAGAGACATATGTTGCTACACAGACAGACAGACACTGTTAACACATTCAAAATCAAAATATCTTTTGTCCCCAAATGGATAAACTGTCCCCTGTCAACTGTTTTTTTTTTGTCTGAAATGCATTCCTGAAGCTAGTATACGTCTGACCCACCCACACACTTTCCACAAACTCAACAAATCTGAACTGTTGAGCTCTACCAATCAGGCTACCCATCCCAAAATTACTTTAAGCCACTGTCAGATAAATCTTTGTATCTGTCATGAGTCAGCGCTTCAGGAATTAGGAAAAGCCAAATCACCTTCAATCTGACATCCCAGCATTTTAACTATACTTCAGCAATAAGTTAAGCTAAGAGGTTAAAAAATATTCAGTGTGATCTTATGATTTATGAGGGGGGAAAACAGCACACAGCCAAAAAGGAAAAAGGTCAGTTATAGCTTACAGTATGAACACAGTCTCTCACATACATACCTCTGCCCACCCTGCTTGTTGAAGGCGCATGCTAGCGCCACAACCTGACCAGTGGCCCTGCTGACCACTGGTACACAAAGCATGGAAGAGATCTCACAGCCCAACATACTGGACAGCTGCCTCCGCTCCTCCTAAGAGGATGAGAGGCAGAAAAATTTGTTTAGTATAAACACAGAGTAGATAACTAGATACTGTAAGATCAATAGATAAGAAAGAATATGTCTCCTTACAGCACTGATGTCCTGAAGAGTAATTGACTTCTTCTTCTCGACAACCTGACCAAAGCGTCCAAACATCAGCTGAACAGAGGAGAGGAGAGGAGAGGAGAGAGATGGAGAATCGGTGAGTAAAAATAGAAGGTATATAAAGAAAACCACTGTAATAAGGGGGAGAGACAAAGCAGTAAGAAAGCAGAGTTGTGGGAAGAGTCCTTGAGATTATGTTTGAGGTAAAATATATAAATAACGGTTGTTTATTCTGTGTGAATGAAGTTTATTACCTCCCTTGTTAAATTAAGCACAAATAGCCCATCGATGCTGTCTCTTTTTTGTGTCCTTATATCTCTCTACAGCAACTACTATCAAGATTTCACACATCGTTTGTCTGGGGGACATTCGCACCATAATAGAAAGTGCTGAAAATGCAACTTCTCCACCACAGACAGGGACAGGAGACTCTTGCCCAAATGTCTTAATTATAACCGCTGTCAGGGATTATAAAAGATTACATGTGGGAGGTTTATTCTAACGTGTCAGTCCAAGAAATCTACAGGCAGGGTTACAACACTTGCATTAAAACTAAGCTTGTTACAAACTGCACCAAACCTCCCTGAATATAGTGTGCAGCCTCATGGCCCCAACACAAGTGAATGAATGAAGGCATACAATAGATGGATGAGGAAATTACTTACAAATAACACAAACAGACCAATAATGAGAATTAATTAATAAGTATTCATATGAAAAAATAATTGTGTTTGTTGTTGACTCACCGGGAAGCTGATCTCCTCCTCCAGTACTTTGTCTCCAACTACCTAAATGTCACAGAGCTCAAAGGTCAAGGTTCTTAATTACCAAATTATTCTTATGGGGAATGAGTCATGGTAGATGAAGTTTATATGTGTGTGTGTGTGTGTGTGTGTGTGTGTGTGTGTGGTTGCAGGGCAGAGTGCGAGAGATGAAGAGAACAATGTCTGTGTGTGTTGTTTGTGTGCAGTATTTCAAACAGAGATTATGAAAACAAATGTTTGTGAGAGTGGTAAAGATGCAGGGAGAGTGTGCGTGCGTGTGTGTACCTGGCAGAAAAGCTGGTGGTTGTCCTCGGACACCAGCAGCAAACAACAGCACTGCGAGTGAGTCTGCTGTTGCAGCTGAAGGAGAACACAAACACAATATCAGTCCAGATAGATATAAAAAATCTCTCTTTATGAACTTTAGACATATTGTTTTTAAAGCCTCAATTTAAGATTCGTCGTCTAAGTGTGAAGAGAATACTATAAATCATTGGACAATGGAAAATGACTGGCGCTTAAATGAGGAAATAATTTTATATTATCTTCATTGTCTTGCAGAAGCACCAAACTGTGAATCAATACTATGATGTACATGTAGTTTGATAAACGTTTCCATTATTTAAAAACAAAAAACAAATCAAAGATCCCACATAAGTATATATAGCAATGGCGAGAGGATTGATTAAACTGTAAGCCCCAGTTTGCTTTGAACAGCTTTACGTAAACACAGTCATTCATATTCAAGTGTCATCTAAACATTCATACCTTGAAAATAAAAGCTAATATTTTCAGGTGTTGTGATTTTAGTGCAAGATCAAGGTTTGTTTTTGAATGTGAAAGATCAAAATTCCCACATAAACACAGAGAGTGTGTGCATAAATAAAGGAGTGTGTATGCACTCTCTCTGCTGCTTTGCTCTGTAAGACCTGCAGAGTCGCAACCAATTTCCTGCTGCGATCTGTGAAGAGAAACATTTGATTCTCATTCATAGACTGAAATTCACTCAGAGGGGGGAACACACACATAGCTGCTGTATGCATGATGACACAAATACTGTAGGTACACAAGCATATACACGATCATACCTGCACACACACCTACACACAGTGCAGAGTTTTCCTCACACAGTATTCTTCTCTGTAATCCACAGAACTGGATAGAGAACAAGCAGGACAGGGATAAACACCCGCCACTGCCAACACACTTGCCCCCCCAGTCACACACGCACACACGTGCGCGTGCATTAAGCATGTCGCTGCACCCACATAATGAGCCCCTCCACCCCCTTTTTCCCAAATGCTGTTAATCCCATAAGAGCCGCCCCAAGCACTTCCCACCAAACTGACGATTCTTCAGAAGCAACAATCTCCCGCTCCACACCACCCTCCTTCCTCATCCCCCTTTTTACAACTGTAACAATAAAACAGGCGAAACAAATCAGGTCAGACTCAATCTTAAAACCCCTGCAGTCTTTTGCACCACCATGACTCTTCCCTCTCCCTTCTTTCAGACGCAGGAGAAATACTACAAATTCAGGTTTAGAGGCATCAAAAAGCTTTTACATGCAGGCTGCAATTGTTGTTGTTCAATGCTATGTATCTAGTCCTGCAGCGTAACGGTAGCACGGGTGCAGGGAAAGTCAGGTAGATGATAATTGTTTAGATTTGACCACAGATTTTTTAAAGGAAAGGATAAGCTTTATACCAAGACTTTATGTCCTTCATGTCCAAGTCCTTAAGCTGCAAATGGTATTTGTAAAATCTGATTCCCATGTTATTTTGTTAATATTATTAATTATAAAAAAGTATGATCTATTAGCTTCTTGGAAGCTCTGATGGGCAGAGGTACATTTAACTGTCCTATTGTATGAATTATGCTATCCAAACCAAGTCGCCTTACCTTTGATGCAGTGTAACCTTCAAATCTCTCTCCTCTCTCTGGCTTTATCCCTCTCTATCTCATATTTTCTTTATCTGTGAATAATTTCATACATTTAAATTGTTGTCGGGTTTCCGCACATACGGTAACTGAAGCCTGATATCGCCCCATTCTCTCATTCCTCATCAATCTTTACAACTCTCCTCCGCTTCCCTCCTTTTTACAGAGAGTCTATAATAAATAGGCTATAGAGGGGGGCATACTACGTGAAGACAGATGAAGTAAGTGTGCGATAAAATGCTTTTGGTCACAAGAAGAGGAGAAAGAGTCACTGGGAAGGATTGCATTGTTTACATGTACCGTACGTCTTCAACTCTGTATGTGTGTGTGTGTGTGTGTGTGTACATGAGAGAGCATATGGGTGATCTCAACCACTTACATAATTTATGACTTTGAGCTGGAGAGAGGCTGCATCAAGGTCAAAGAGCTCACCTGAAAGAGAAAAAGGAGCGAGAGAGAGTGAGTGATGGGAGTATAAACCAGAGAGGGGCAAGGGCAGATTGGCGTTAAGGGAGACGGGGAATGCAGAGCATGTACGCATGTGGATGGAAAGCCATCCAGGGAGGGATGCAGTGAGACAGCGAGGTCGGGGAAGGGTGAGCGGGAACCAGCTAACAGAGGGACTAATAATGAAGACAAGACAAGGGATGGAGGGCTGCCTGCACTGCAGATGAAGACAAATGGAAAGAGCTGGCCAGAGAGGCAGAAAGGTGGAGTAGAGGCCGGAAAAAACTGCAGAGACTAAAGGCAACTCATATTTGTTGACAATTACCTGGGGGTAAACATTGTTGACATATGTGTATGTGCACAGGAACTGCATTAGCAAATCCACTTCCATTATGCATGAGATTTTAAACAGTGGTATTGCAAAGCATTCTGTTTTCACACAGGAGCTGTTTTCCTTGTGTCACTGACAGAGTCCATCTAAATTCATAGAGCTTTTTATCCAGATGGGCTTACTCTATTAACATACCTCACCTCACATACACCAGGGTGTGCGTGTGTGTAATTATGTATTGTGTCCGTATATATATATATATGGTGGCGGAGATGTAAGATGTATGTGAGTGAGAGAGAGAGAGAGTGAAGGAGGCTTGTTTGCATACCGCAGAGTTGCAGGATGTTGCGGTCCAGTTCGGAGTAGTCCTGGTCCGAGACATTGAGGTGCAGCAATGCATTGTGGGACTGTACGGGAGAGGGGCTGAGAGGAGGCCTCTGGTAGGATGTCTGAACAGCCTGGACACGCACACACGCCACTGAGGCCTGTGACGTCATGCATGTATACAGAAACATACACACACAGAAGTCAGATTAAAGAACATTTTAGATTTTTTTTTTTTATTGATTTTGATAAGGTCTATATAGGATGAAGAAAAAGATAGAGAAAGAGAGAACTAACGTGTTTTTCCAGCATATTAAGATGCAGTTCATCCTGATCAGATAGCGGATTACAGCCCACCTGCAACACACACACACACACACACACACACACACACACACACACACACACACACACACACACACACACACATATTAGTCCAGTCCAATACATGAGCTGTGGAGTTCATTTAATTTGTGAATGTTAAGTAAAATCAAATGAATTATCTGTCAGTATCTACCTTTTCATTAAGAAGGAGGTTAAAGGCAGCGATTGCTTTCATTACTTCAATTTATTAATTTCTTGAAACCCTATTGTATGTCCTTGAATGCAAGGACTCACCAGTAAGACAGCGATGGCCTTGTCTCGCTCCTGGTCCAAGATAGGAATGACAACAGCTAAAAGAAATAAATAAAAAAAGCTTTCATAATACATATTACATTGATTCAGACAAAACAGACTTTCATTTTCTTTTCATGACCTTGTGTTAATCTTATTTGTTCTATCTCCATGTTCTAATACTAATAGAAATATGCAGGAGAAATGGAAAAAAATAAACCCAATGTCCTTGCAATAACTTTATTCTTTTCTTCTCTTTCATTTGTTATTGTCATTAATGTAGATCAGACAGCGACAGAAGAGCTTTATGAACAACATAAGTCTGGCATAGAGGTGAGTGAGGCTGCATGTGTGGACAGCAGACAAAACAACACACATAATTATGTGTTCACCACATTGGAACCAAACTCTTACTTCTGCAACATCATTAAATGTTCAGTGGTTCTTATTGATCCACAGAGTGCACAGCGGTCATGCATTTGTACTTCAGGATGTCCTGTTTACATCCCTCCAGGTTATTCTCTGATCTCTGCTTTTAGATGTCTGTGAAGATTCTCAGTCATCCAGGTCATAGTTATCCAAAGAAGGTTAAAGTCAAGGGCAACTGGACTTGGTTGAAGATACTAGAAGACGTTTCGTCCCTCATCCAAAGGACTTCTTCAGTTCTGACTGACTGGTAGGGAAACTCAGTTATTTAACCTCAGTGGCGTCGTTTGCCAGGATTGTCGATATCGCTGGTTCGTTAGTGTTCCCGACAGTCGTTATGGTCGTTAGGACTACCAGTGGCCAGACTGAACGACCATCGTTGGCATCTTCACCTGAGGCCAATAGGTTACATTTGTTGAGTTTCCTGGGAAGTGATGAAAGGACAGCATTGTAAGTGGGGGATAAGTGGTGGCGTAGACCCCCTCCTCTATTCAGCAATGTCTTCTCGACCCTGGTGTAGATGGCTTCCTTGACACCTCTTTCAAACCATCCATCTTCTCTGTCTAAAATGTGCACCTGGTGGTCCTCAAACGGGTGTCCTCTGTCCTTCAAATGTAAGTAAACTGCAGAGTCTTGACCTGAGGAGTTGGCCCTTCTGAGTTGAGCCATGCGTTTGTGTAGTGGTTGTTTAGTCTCCCCAATATACAGGTCTGTGCATTCCTCACTGCATTGGTCCGCATACACTAGATTGCTTTTCTTGTGTTTGTCTTTGGGGTGTACCAGCATCTGTCTTAGCGTGTTCTTGGGTTTAAAAAAAAAACAGGGATGTTTTGTTTGTTGAAAATCCTCCTGAGTTTCTCTGATACTCAAGACACGTATGGAATCACAGTGTTGCGTTGCGTTTGACCTTCTTTTCTTCATCCCCTGTAGTTTTGTTCTTCCTGGATCTTGTGGCTGTTTTCACAAAGGTCCATTTAGGGTATCCACAGGCTGTAAGTGCCCCCTTCAGGTGTTTCTGTCCCTTCTCTCTGGCTTGGGCGCTTGTTGGTATGTTTTCCGCTCTGTAGTGCCGTGTTCTCATGACTCCTAGCTTATGCTCCAGTGGGTGGTGGGAATCGAAGAGTAGGTATTGGTCTGTATGTGTGGGTTTTCTGTAAACTGTAAACAGAGTTGATGTGTTCTGTGAAGGCTTGCATTTCCTGGCTTTTAATTTTGACCCAGGTGTCGTCCACATACCTGTACCAGTGGCTCGGTGCTGTTCCTCTGAAGGAGTTGAGGGCTTTGCTCTCCACTTCTTCCATGTAGATGTTCGCCACAATCGGGGATACTGGTGAGCCCATGGCACAGCCATGCTTCTGTCTGTAGAATCCTCTGTTGTACTGGAAAAAGGTGGTGTTTAGACAGAGGTCGAGTAATTTGCAGATCTGGTCAGGGCTGAGGCTAGTTTTGTAGTCCAGGGTGTGGTCTTGTGTTAGCTGTTTCCTTACGGTTTCTACTGCTTCTATGGTGGGGATGCAGGTGAACAAAGAAGTCACATCATAGGTTTCATCTGGGTCCAGTTTCAGTCCTCGAACTTTGTTTACAAAGACAATGGAGTTTTGGATGTGGTGTGGCGTGTTTCCCACAAAAGGGAGCTAAGATGGTAGAAATGTGTTTGGCAATGTTGTAGGTGACCGAGTTAATGCTGCTGATAATCGGCCTGAGTGGGGCTCCTTCTTTGTGTATCTTGGGTAGTCCATATATGTATGGAATGGCTTCTCCAGGATACAAAAGGTAATATTGTTCACAGGAGATGGTGTTGTCTTTCTGTAGCTGTTGTAGACATTCTATGGCCTTTTTCTTGTATCTGCTGGTTGGGTCTTGCACCCCCAACAAAAGAAAAGCAATCTAGTGTATGCGGTCCAATGCAGTGAGGAATGCACAGACCTGTATACTGGGGAGACTAAACAACCACTTGCACAGCTCTTGCATTTTTTCCATCATAAACCTTTCATTGCTTTTTTTGGGGGGGGTTCTCTTGTACAGTTTTACTGCCCACGCGGCTCCATACTTCTCCCTGGGCAATCATCATCTCTTGTTCACTACTTCTCTCTCTACCTCCTTTCATTTGTATTTTTTACTCCCACATTCTCACATCTCTTTTCTCTTTTGCATGAACAGGCGCTCATGTATCCTCAAACAAGCAGATACATACACACACATCCACTCAGATGTTCATCCATTTGTCAGCATCATTCACGCCCTCGCTACACCCTTTAACACACACACACATGCTGGTAAACCACTCACACACCTCTTCTGTGTGCTGGTAACGGTGCTGCGAGGCAGATTCTGTATTTTTCCGGCAGTTCGGACAGAGGGAGGCCGGCACTCTGACATCGCTTCAGCTGCTCCGCGATACTCCTAAGACAGACAGATAGAAGTTGAATTTGACTCAGGTTTGAGAAAGACAATTACCTGCAGCACATCAGACAGTGTGAGAAACAGAGACAGAGAAAGAGAGTGTGTCTGTCAGACACCGGGGAGACAAAGAGGAAGAGGGGATTTTGAAGAAAATTGGAGCAAATGGAAAAACAATCACCAGCATTACAAAAACAGACACGTTGTGTTCATTGACACTAACCAAAGCATGTCTGAACAGAGCTATTATTCATTGTGAAATTATATGAAATCAATACAACCATTTGTCTGTGTGTGAAAGTGCCGGCCAGGTGTGAAGCCAGGTATGATGATGGCGAAGGTGCAGGTCTGTGTGTGTGTGTTAGATTTAATACAGAGGTTCAGCTTTCTTATGCTAAAATATGGGATTTGTTTATTCTGGACCAACTACTGCCAAAAGACACAAAGACACATACACACTTGTGGCATCACTGCTGCACACCTCAGTGCGCACACACACTCAGACTTGAATGAATGTGGAAACGAAGGACAAAAAAAGAGAGAAAATAATTTCACCCATGCACACAGGTAAATTTGAGATCTATGTGTTTCACATAATAATGTACTGAACCCTCCAGTAACTACACACAAACACAGACACACATAGCAGCAGTCACTCCTTTACATGCTCACAGAGTCTGAAATCCCCTCAAACCATTGCAGCCAAATGTCCGCACTGATTTAAAAGTGTCCATTTATTTCAGCTCAAAGAGGAATGGTCCACTTGAGTCAAAAAACATTCCCATTGTAATTTACAATTGTGACCAATGCAGCTGACCTTTGTGTAATGTCTTTGTTCAAAGCAGCTTTCCTGCACGCCCTGAAGCCAATATATGGTGAGCACAGACAGAGCAAAAAACCCACCCTGGGGCGTTAGGAAAAATACTGTTATTTAGTTTTCTCTGTGAACATATGACATAGCTATTAGATAATAAAATGTATGTTTAAATGGGTGGTGTATGGAGATATCTATAGGGTCAACTAAAGCTTCATAAATCTGTTTGGAACAGTTTACAGCAAAATAGCTCAAATTGAATAACATACAGGTTAAAGCTGGTGTGGTGGGCGTTGTGTTGACAGTGCAGCGGTGGCCTGTGACAACGTTCAGCAGCAGCAGCAGTAGCAAAGACTTTGAAATGGACGTTGAAACAGACCACTGAGATACAGGAAATGTGTGCGTAGGTGTGTAGTTGGCACTCATAGAAATCAGCTGGTGATTAATTTAACTGGGGGATGCTAATGGCTTCACGTTCCTGCCTGAAAATACTAAATGAGCTTCATTTGTCGTAACCGCTTAACCGTCATTAATAAACCCTGCAGTGATCCTTAAAGCTGATGGTGTTTTGAATGTGTGTTGAAAATAAAATTCTGATTCAGCCTAATTCTGGATCTGCAGTTAAGGTATTGCATTGTGTTATTTTCTATGAGGTTTTGCGGACAAAAGATAAGAGCGACATGGTCAACAGTAAGTGAAATAATTCCTCTCTTATAACAGTTATTAGTCTGCATGTGTGTCCATATGATTGATCATTTCAACTCTGAAACATAGCTCACAAAAAACTTGGTAAACACATTGTGCCAGGCAGCGTAGTAAAGGCTGAATGCTTGGACCGTCACCCATTTGATGTATATTTTCCTGCTGCTGATTTGGTACATAACCACACAATATTGTATCAATGTAGACTATTTATTACTACTAGATTGTAGACCACCAAATTGTTTTTATCCAGATGTTGTAATGTAAAATTTTAAGGATTTCTTCACATGTATGAGAATCTTACAAACTGAATGTTGTCAAAACCACAGTGACAAATAATGGCAAAACCCATATTATTATCACTCATCTGCAATCTGTCAAGCATTTGTCTATGTCATGCTCTACTAGAAAAATATACAAAGTGGAAAAAAGTTTTAGTGTTTTAGATGAAAAATACACAACTGCATTGTGTGTGTGTATCACTGACCTTGGGCTGTGTGTCTTCCTTTTGCAGTGCTTCTAACAATAGCTTGTTTGGCTATGAGGCTTCAGTTATCTTGTACAATACAAATTGTTTGGAGGATAAACGATCATGGAAGCAGTCCTGGCTTTTTTGTACATTTGTGTGGCTGTGTGTGTGTGTGCGTGTGTGTCAAGGTCCTGTTAATGGGTTTGTATGTATTAGAAGTGGGATGGAACGAGGCCCAAACAAAGTGGCCTTCTGCCTCTCAAATGGGTTAATTGAGTGTGTATGCCTGTTTGTGTGTGTGTGTGTGCGTGCGCGTGGGTGTGTGTGCGCGCGTGTGTGTATGCCAAGGTCTTGATAACAGGCTTATATAAGCAGGTGAATGGGAGGGAGTAAACTAACAAAGTGCTCTCTTAATGTGCTCTTTTAATATCCCACTACCTCTAGCCTGCATGCAGCCCTGACAAATATGTGTATGTAAGTGAGCCCATCGGATTGTGTGTGTTGTCTGCATGTCTGCTGTGTGTACGTGTGGTCTGTGCTCATGTCTTTGCTTGTTCGTGTCTGCAAAAGCATGTTTGAGCGTGTGTCATCCTGTGTTTGTGTGGCAATGAGGTGTTGGAAAAAGGGTTCTTGTATGGCAAACAGGCAGTTTCATCTATAATGTAGTGTTATTTTTTTTCCCGGAGCCAGGGCAGCAGTCGCGGTAGCACACAGGGTTATAGAGTTTCAGAGAGCACTTAAGAGAGGAGAGGATCGCCATGTCTCACTGAGGGACCCCGGGCGCTGTCACCTCGGCTATTAGCCCTGCAACGCTTCCGCTGGGAAGAGGGATTGAAGGTGAGAGAGAAAGAGGAGCTGCGGGAAGGAGGGTAGGCTTAGTGCCTCATGGCTCTTCGGGGAGAAAGCAGGCTGAGAGTTAAAAAAAGGGCAACGACAGACTGATGCAGTGAGGTGGGAAGGTGTAATAGCAGATGATAAGACAGGGAAAGGGTTTGTCAGAGGGACACAGAGTGATGTGTCATAAGAGGGGGGGAGAGTGATATAAAGGGAGATTTTTAATGAGAGCCCATTGGAGACGGGGATGAGAAAAGCAAGCAGGAGGTTGTAAAAATGAGAGGAGAAGGTCCATGTGTGTCTTGATGATGAGATCTCTCTCTGTGACACTCCTGTCTCCGGGCTGATGATGTGATTTCGGGCTGCGTGGCTCATATTCATTCAGATGACACCTGCTTTTCACACAGAGAACAGCCATCTCTGTTTCCCCCTCTTCATCTCTCCCTTGTTCTATTGCAAAACATCCGCGGCTGGCTACATAGACACACACACACGCGTGCTTGAGCACACACACGCACTCTGAGTACACACCTGATCTTTCCCTCCTGTGGGAGTTCATGTGGCGGGTTGTCAGATAGCAGCCTCGAGTCTCCCTCCAGCATGTAGACACATACACACTCCTGGAATACAACACACATATACGTACACATTCATTTGTAATAATTAATCAGATTCAAATTAATTTAATGAGTGATGAGCCTCATCCATTTGCAACAAGGCCTGGGCCGCTGTTCCCTGGTCTTGGATGGAGGCATTTAGCTGCACCGCTGTGAATACTAACAGGTAGCTTTTTTTCATGCAGTTTATCAAGGAAATGTAATTTATATTCATCTGTTTGTGCAATTGTAGAGTTTGTGTGTAAATACCGTGCTGGGTAGCAGCTCCTGTATGCTGTCTCGAAGGGCCACTCGCAGCGAGCGCGCGTCAACAACAGCCGCCAGCCGCAGCAAAGCATCCTGGGGAGGGAGACAAACATATGCCCTGATGTCTGTTTGCTTGTTTATGATCTCCAAAAGCCTGAGGCCTTGGCTATAGTTTTTTTTGTTTTTTTTGTGGGTATAAGGTTTATGTTACAACAGCTCTTCCCCCGATATTTAGCTTGGCAGGCGGCAAAAGCATCTGAAACAATATTTAAACTGTCACACTCGGTAAAGGCATAGCAATCTGTGCTTGTTGGAGGCACAAGTGAGGTACTTAAAAATGAACTGAACTCAGACATCGTCAGGGATTACTGGAGTTGGTTTTGCTCTTCAGGACACTCAGTGCTTTTGTTTCATTTTGGCACTGAAAACCAAGCACTTGACAATTCATTTGCAGAGTTTTCTAAGCAGATGATTATTTATGAAATTAAATGGCGTTTGGCAGTTCTATTGGCAAAAATGTCATGGTTCACAAGTTACATAACAGATATTTACTTTCTTATCATTTCCACATTCTTTGAAGATTGGATAGAAGCACTTAACTTGAGGAGAGTGGTGGTTATCTTAATTACAGTCTGCCTCTGATCAGTCTGATCAAGAGCCAATCTATTTTTATTGCTTTTGACTTTGATAAAATATCTCTCCACATCAATAGTCACTACACATACAAATCCTAAAGAGTATGAAAGATCTGATCACATCTGAAAACCCCCCAGAAGTAAGTGACTCCTCTTTAGAATAAAGGCTAAACTATTGGCTATTAAGCATTGTTTAACCAGGTAAAGGCAAACGTGTTCATAGCTGTTCCAAGTGGCCACATTCGAAGGTGGGGCAAAAATACAAATGGAGCTAACGGAAAGTCATGGTGTTGCACGCTGTTGTTGTAAACATGAAAATGCAGAAGTAATTGAGAAAAGGAGAGCCTGAAAGAGAAGTTCAAATCCTTCCTTATTTCTTGCCTTGCCTACCCAATTGCTACATTAAGTGGGCGTGCTTGTCCAATTGTTGGAAAGAGGAAAATTGCAAAAGAAAACAGCCCTCCCAATTCCAATGTCAAAAAAGTGGTGGGGGAGGGAGTGTCAGAAGCTGTGTGACCACCAGACAAGCACTTTGTTTGAAGCATACTAACACCTTAAAAGGGACAACATAACTGCAAGGTGAGAGCAGTTTGTTTTCTTCAAGTGCACTCTTTGGTTTTCTCAAAACTACCTTCCACTTTAATAAAGATTAGGTTTGGGTAGAGGAATAAAAGCAGAGGAATAAAATCAGGTGAGCTGATGTGACATAAAAGGGGAGCTTTTATTTTAAGGTCATGCAAGATTGAATTTGTGCTGCATAGTTTTATACATTCTTTTCAACAGGCATCCAGTACCGCAGCATCTCACAACCACAACTTTATCAGATGAGACCACGTAACACCCCAGGTGACAGCTATAAATTCATACCATAAGAATATTTATGCTCTGTGTGCAGTTTGCTTAATCCCTACTAGTTATCACACTATATTATTATTATTACATGTAACCACAGTCTAAAGAGAGAATCTTAGTGGGACTTCAAAATGTGATCAAAGCTCAGAAAAACATTGGGAGAAATCACAGAGGCTTAAGACGCTGCTTTTATAGCTGTGTACTGAATATAAATTGGAAAGAAGAAGATAATGTCAAAAGTGTTGCCTGTGACTGCCAGATCATCCTCTTCCAGTTGTTCTGACAAAGCTGTTAGTCACACAGCCGAGCCGGAAGGAAGAGCATCTTGTTCATTCCTTAAGCGTCCAATACAACAAAGGCACTGCAAGCTGCGCCTGCTGAGGCGCTCAATGTTCTACTGAGGATGTCCATCTGTCACCCTCTCTGTTATCTTTATTTTCCTCCTCTTTTAGACATCGTCCTTCTACCCCTTTCTCTCCTCTCTCTCTATCGCTTAATTTCAGTGTTGTTTTTGAGAGTAAACATGGAAGACAAAGGAACATGGGGCAGAGAAGAGGTTGTTAGTTGGTGAGTGGTCAAGGAGAAAAGGAGGAGAAGAGAGGAGAGTTGAGAGATGGAGAGTGAGTGGAGAATGTTGTCATGCATGAGCACTCAGTATTGGTCATTACATATGATTAGATATGATTAAATGCGATTAGCTTTGATCACTCAATCAGCCTGCAGAGTGCTCTTGTAATGAAGTTTGTTGCTCTGCCAGCCCATGTGTGAGTGTGTGTGAGTTTGTGTTGGAGTGAGAAAGCGTTTGAGGGAGCTCCTTAAGCTGCGGATCTTAAAAACGCTCGCGCAAATCCCGATAAGTAATGTTTGATCGAAAGTTGATCTGGAGACAAACAGCAAATGTCTCTGACTCTCCATCGTCCCCACTCTACTGTCAAGAACTCGTCGAGGAATCGACGCTGAAACCTGCCATGCATTGTTTGTGTGTGTGTGTGTGTGTGTGTGTGTGTGTGTGTGTGTGTGTGTGTGTGTGTGTGTGCATGGGCATTTAGCAAAAGATGTATTCCTTGGTAAATGTCAGACTGTGTCTTCTGACCTTTCACAATCATTTCTTGCCATAAACCTTAAACCATCTGTTATATTAATTTACCTTCTACTCCACCCATCACCACACACACACACACACACACACACACACACACACACACACACACGCATATATATGCATACATATCCACCCATTCACCTGGTCCTGATGTAGACATGGACACAAGGGTTTTTTGGTTTTAGCCTGTAACACAGCTGTAGCTTTTACTGGAAGCTTTTTTCTTGGTCTACTGACCAACTTCGTCTGGTCGCTCCAAAAACCAGGTTAAAAACCAGGGGCGACAGCAGCCCCTAAACTGTGGAATGAGCTACCTCCACAGGTCAAATTGGCCCTGACCCTCGAATGTTTTAAATCCCGTCTTAAAACCCACTTGTATTCCCTGGCTTTTAACCCAGCATGAGAGCTGTGTAGTCTTGTTGTTTTATGTGTTTCTATGTGTTTTCTATGTGTTTTTATGTTTTATTTCTTGTTCAGCACGTTGTAAACCATTTTATCTTTAAATTAGCTAATCTTCCATTATGTTGCAGTTACGTGAAGCTTAATGTCAGCTTTTTGGGAAATTAAATGAAAAGCTTTATTTTTTAATTGAACAACGTGCTTTCAGAGCTCATCCAATGGGGTCGCTGAAGAAACAGATAGAGTAAAATGCAATCCTTCAATTAGTTCAAAACTGAACCATGACAGTCTGAAATTTTGATGAAAACAGCTACATGATTTCATTACATAAACACTGTGTTTTTCTCCAATGCCATTTCAATTTATGTGAATTTGGCCGAAGCTTTTATCTGAATTGAGTTGAAAATGCCAAAACATAGTCAATTTTTAATACGGGAGACATCAAATCCCCCCCGATGATGAAGATAGAACCAAAACAGCATGACAGGACAATGTGAAAGGCCATTATGATAATGGTTTATATTTATTATCTATTATTTAATTTCAGAAATACTCTCATAGATTCCATATCCATTCTACTCACTGCATTATTAACATTCATAATTTGTTACAGCAGTGCACCCATCTGACACAGGATGTATTATATGCTCCATTTTCTGAGCGTGCAACAGTAGGAATAATGGCAATTAAAATTATATTTCTGTAAATGTAACACTAACACAAATGCTGAGTTATGGGACTTTGTTGGCTTTGTCTGTCTACCTCTTTTCCTCTCCTTTAACCCATTCGTTCTCATCTCTTCCCTCCTCAGATCCTCTCTCTCTTTATCTTTGTCAGATACCATCAGATACCACCTCACACACGCCAACATATTTTATGTTTACATCACACGACTCACCTTAAACTGTAATTTTCATGTGATTTTTGGGGAGGGAAACCTTGACACTGGCAGTGGTCACAAACCCTACACCATTGTGTGCACAGGTTACCAAAATGTTCTACTAATTATATTAAGGTATCTTGCTTTAATTAATGCATCATCTACTGGTAGATCTAAAGATTGGCCTATTACTGAAAGCTGTGGCAACAAATATCAGCCTTACTGATAAATTATTTGATTCTTCAGCATGACCTGGATTTGCTTGGTTTATGTGAAACATGGCTGAAACTGAATGTCTTCTTTTGAAGCTTCGCCACCTGACTATACCAGTGCCCATGTTGGCTACAACACAAGGTGGAGGTGTTGCCTTAAACTATAAGTCTATTTTCACTTTAACCTCCAGACTTGATATTACCTTGATATTACCTTCAACTTATTTAAGGTTTGTTTTAAAACATCTCCCTAAGCTATGCTTTTCCCAGGGAACAGTTCATACAGTTGTACCTCTTTCTACCATAACAAGATGATCAAAGATTCGGGGACCCTGGGATTGGGATCTGACCCCCCTAGTTAAGGCCTGGACCCACCCAAAAGAGGCAAAACCAACAGTTCAGGGGGGTCTTTGTTACCTGTTTTTGTAAATATTACAATATATTTATATTCAAGAATCTTGAAATATGATTTCAGACACCCCTAAAATGGACCGTACCATTTCCTAACATTGAAGTTAGTTGAATGTCTTGTCTGTCGGCATCACTTGCAGTGCAGCTGCTCCAGTTGGTGCATCACACGCTAATGGAGACGCAGCAGGTTAATGTCAGTAGTTATCTATCTAGCTGCTTTAATACACTTAACTTTCCTACCTTCAGAGATTCGTAATTAGCATTTCTTTGACTTAAAATGAGCTATCTGATGTTAGCTAGCTGAGAGCCCACCCTATCATTTAATTATAACTATGTAATTTCATATTTTATGTAATTGTCAGCTAACAATGGTGTTTAGGCATGAAATAGTGAAATAGGGGATTAGTTATTTTACATTTTTACATCAATATATTTTATTTCATTTGAAGTATTTTGTGAGTCCTTTCACAATAAACATGGCATTTGTTTTAACTCTGGAATTCCCAAAAATTCCCAATTCCCCAACAACAGTGTATGATTACTGCTTTATTGGACGCAGATTACATCATTCACAGTCAACATGAGCAAGAGGAAAGGAGATA